GTTCGACACGACGAAATTGACGCATTCCACAACCACCTTAACGAACAAAACACTGACATACAGTTTACCAGAGAAGTCGAAGAAAATGGCAAACTTCCTTTTCTAGACTGCCTGGTAAGCCACAACGACAACTCATTACGAACGACAGTTTACAGGAAACCGACACACACCGACAGATTACTAGACGAGTCATCCTACAACCCTACATCACACAAAGCCACAACTATCAGAACTCTAACACGACGCGCACAACTAGTATGTGACTCGACAGACAGCTTATCCGACGAGAACAAATACCTTCACCGTGTTTTTACGAAGAACAACTACAACAACGACTTCATCCGACGAAACACTCACCGACCCACTACCACTACCGAAACAAACGACACCGCAACCCCTACGACTACAGCAACCATACCGTACATAAAAGGCATGTCTGAAAACATCTCGCGCATCTTACTACCCTTCAATATCCGCGTCGCCCACAAACCCATCACCACACTACGTCAGTTACTAACCAACGTTAAAGACAAAGACGAACCGAGGAACAGACAGGGAACGATTTATAAGATCAATTGTTCCGACTGCCAAGCCTCCTACATCGGTGAGACTGGCAGAAACCTCACAACAAGACTGACTGAACACAGACGGGCGACGAGGAAAGGTGATGTCAGCAATCACATTGCTGAACACCATCGACTTACCAACCACAACATTGACTGGGACTCTGCGCAATGCCTAACCTACAGCACTGACTATTTTCAACGACTGACTCTGGAAAGCTGGTTTACTAACTTAGAACAGACTCCCCTAAACAGATGTCAACAACTACCCGCTCCATACAAACGACTCATTCACGACATAAACATCACAAACGACCGAAAAAGAACGACCTAACTTTACCGACAGATCGAAACAGACCAATCACGACCGACTTACGTCACTTGAGTCTTACAGCCAATAACATCACGGCAAAACCAACCGATCATTTCACACGAACTGGAATAAGAACATTCTACTGACAACAATCATTCACTTGACTCTGATGATGACTTCCGCACAGGTTGTCGAAACGTCAGTCACTACCACCGACAACAGTCCTTCTCAGGACTACACTCACCCGGACGATCAGACTACACCTTCACATGTTACCCCCGGGTTCAAACCATTTACTGCATTTGTTCTGTTTGTTCTGAAGAGCCTTTAAAGGTTCGTAGAACGGAAAATAAAGCTTTCATATGAATCAAGTTAGATTCAGGGAGCGAATTTTCATTACCTTATAAAACGAGTTCACATGTATTCTTGCCTAATTAACCGATGGTGATACATGTAAACCTTTTTTAAGTTGGGCACTAGGTATCTTGTTCCCATTGATACCCAGTATTTGTATTAAAGCCAGCTTTTCAATCTCTAACATGTATATTTATTGTCCATATGATAAAAAGAAACTTACACGTTTGCTTAACGATATTAATTTTCTGTTCTCGTGGCACGAATAACACTGAGATGATCGCACAAGGGACGCAGCGAGCTTGTAGGATGTTAGTTCTTGCGACTCGAACATGAAAATTCATATCTTAATAATACAGTATTATCGCTTGTCTCACGACCAGTATTATTAACCAAGCACGAGGGCCGCACTGGGAGAATATCGGCCCGAGGTCTTGGCAGTGCGGACCGAGCGCAGCGAGGTCCGTACAAAAAAGACCGAGGGCCGATATTCTTCCAGTACGGTCCCGAGCAAGCTTGGTTAATAAGAGATTTATTACACGACTGAAGGTCAAAGGGACACAAGTGCGGTATTATTCGGGACAGTGCCCGGTCCAATACTGAGAGAATATTGACCGGCAATAGAGCATTTTGATTGGTTGATTTTAGTTATTGGCGGATATTTCTGGAGTACAAGTAACGCGTAATAAAATATCACGTGATATTTGTACTCGTATCGCCCAGGCCATTATTTGTACTCTACGAAGCACAGTTGGATAACAAAGGAAAATACTGTCTGTGGGAGGAGGGGGTCTGGGAATAGATTATGGTGCGATTCTTGGCATGAACCGATGATCAGTTGCCTGAAATTTACAGTACTCTACTGTTTTAAGAGAGAATAATTTTAAGAGACTGAGTTCGAATGGTCAACCATCTCAGGCTAGGATATTTTCAGAGTCAATATACACTGTATTCAGTCATCAGGAAATGAGGAAATGAGGAAATGATATTTTACGTCCCAAGCATGTCTCTTAAATGAGAGAGAGTGGAATAACCACGTGCCTAAAACTTCGCGACGTGTGATCGATTATTTCTGGACCCTGCTGAAATCAACGAAAATGGGATTGATTAAAAAGTACATTTAGTGGGTTCAAAATTATTTGAGTCTTTCATTAGTAGGAATATGATATATAAAGTTGATTTGATAGGTCAATGCTTCTTTTCTTTCCTTCAAAAATGGTATCAAACAAATCTCCAATGACCGCAGACCACACTTGTCTGACTATATATTCGTGACATAAAATACTACTATAACAGAATTATCAACTGTTAGAAATTCCCCTATTTTCCCCTTGAGCCTCTGTGGAGGCGCGGTGGCCTCATGGTTAGTGCGCTCGACTCCGGATCGAGTGGTCCGGGTTCGAGCCCCGGCCGGGACATTGTGTTGTGTTCTTAGGCAAGACACTTTACTCTCACATTTCCTCTCTTCACCCAGGCGTATAAGTGGGTACCGGCAATTTAATGCTGGGGGTAACCCTGCGATGGACTGGCATTTCATCCAGGGGGGAGTAGAAATACTCCTAGTCGCTTCATGCTACAAAAACCGGAGTTAAGCACCGGCCTAATGGGCCACTAGGCTCGTAAACAGACTTTACCTTACTTTTGGGCCTCTAACTTAAAATACCTTCAGTTGATAAGTAATGATTAGAAATTTGTGAGAAGCCATTTTCAAATTAAAATGAAAATTATTTGAAAAGGAAATAGGCTTGTAATCATTCCTCAGAGAATGACTTGCTGAAAAATTACGGAATTTTTTTATGAGCCTCCTTGACTAGGTTCGCGTTGGAAATAATGCCATATTGTAGGACAAAATCTCTCAGCGTAGTCTTTTTCGTTCACTGTTTGCATTGGAAAGGCTGCCTCTAAAACTCGACGCTTCCTGATCGGTTTCTGTGTTCAGTAATAACAGTTTGTCCTTTGTTCTTGAAGCCTCCTTTTAATCTCCTCATCAGGGGAGACTTGGGCGCTTTTTGTACATGCCCAAGGGACACTCTCAGATAAGCTTGTTTCAATACCTTGCTGTGCTCAGAAAAATCTTCCGAATTTGATAACTGATGGAATGAACAACCCATGTTCACGGCAAAAAGTTTTCCCTCAAATTCTGTCACCTCTGTGTGTCGTTTCTGATCTGCTTTTGATGCTATCAAAAAAATTTTTGACGAGGGAATGTTCTTTGTTTCGTGTAGATATTTGACAATGAGGGTGGCCTCTTGGAACGATGAGCGATCAGTGATGGAGTAAAGTACAAACACTATGTCCAATGACGCACAGGTATCAATCTTTTCTTTGCAATTCTGAAACATTGTATTAGAAATAAAACTTTTAGAAGTTAAAGGGGTAAGGTGTACAAAAAAGGCATCATATATTATCAGAAATCTGTGCTACGAGCGCGATTTCCTTAAGGACCTTTTAGATTCAACTGCTTGTCTCTCAATATTTGGAGTTAAAAGATGAGAAGTGTTGAGATCAAGAAGTAAAAGGGGCTTGAAGGCAGCTAGTGATTTGTGCTAGATTTGAAATCCTTGTCAAAAGTCCGAGTAATTGGCGCAATTGCCAGGATTGCACCTATAGCTATGCATGTCTTAGATCAATGTGAGTATTTGAGCAATTGCGTACCTACCCCTCCCCTAACGCAACATTAACCCCAACTTGTTATGAATCGATTGTTGTTGAGTTGGGGGGAGGGGTGGGTGAGCAGTTGCTCAGATACTGACAATTATCTCAACTGTTCAATGTATGCGCATGCGTAGTCTAATTCATTGTCCGTGTAAGCTCCAGTTGCTGTATCCTTACTTAACACTTTTACTCCTAAGATCTAATTAATAAAATAATAATAATAATGGTTTATTAAACTCTCTTGCAGTAACTTACTGAATGAACGAGTTATGATACAATGAAAACTTAATAAGAACGACTATGGACATTTCTGTATACATTAACTACAAGTTATATACACCACACGGAACATACATCACATTTTTTAAAAATACTTAAAAGTTAAAAAGTCTTCGGTGCGCTTCGTTCTACAGGTAGCAACGTTTCTGTAAAGATACAACTGGTCTGATTTGTGTCTGAGGTTATAGGGACAGGTATCGTCTAAGCGCGTTTACCATAAGGTGTTAGTTTGGAGAATTTGGTATTAGATCAAATAATCTCCAAATTGATATTTTTCTCTATTCTCATCCCTCGTCTGCTTGACATTGGAATGATATTGTAAGGAGAAATTCTGTCTTGGTAACTCCTGGGAGTTTAAGGGTTAAGGGCTAGGATGCAAATGGAAATGTTCCTTTAGAACCGATATTGTAGTAGTTTACAAGTCAAATCACTCATGCTTACAGTTAGATATGTTACTTCGTTCATCACTGAGCTCATCTCAAAAGAAAAATGAAAAGTCGAACTTAATTGGAAGCGCTATGATAATTTACTCGACAAGAGTGGTTGTTTACAGCAAGTGTATTACTTGTTAATTGCAGACATCTTGAATTGTACGTGCTAATAAATCAAAACGAACTCAGTGACTCCCACATGTTATCACTAAATAACTGTCACTGTGTCTAGATAGAGCTTTACACGAACCAATAAATAAGAACTGTGGAGGGATCAGATACATCACCAACTGTAATTATCCGATGTATATGAAATCTTTAACTTCAAAAGTCATTTACCCAATGCAGGATTGTAATAATATTTAAGCAAGTAGCAAGAAAAATGGTAAATACCTTGCCAGCTGTATCAAAAACATGAAATAAAACCTCTTTTCCTTCTATATCAACGCGATGCTGGTACCAGCTTTCTGTGGTTTAAAAGCAATTTGAGGAATTCGTTTACTGTTTCCGCAAATTCAAAACTAATTAAATGTCCTCAAAAGATAACCCTTGTACGATCGTCATCTTTTAGTTCTGTGTGTGAGTCAGTGGAGTTGTGATGCCTGTAGGTCAGCGAATGCCAAGTTGTTTGGTAAGCGGCACCATCTGGTAGCAAAGCCAATGTTTGTAACTCCTCTAGCCCTATATTGAAACGTCTTTTCATAGTCAGTAATATTCTTTCTTTGAAGTTTTTAACATTTGAACCTGAAAGTTGAAAGTATTTCGTTCGTCTGTTACTGGTTACAATCTACACTGATTGCGTCAACTTTTTAATCAAAATGTTTCAGTTTTATCGCAATGCTTCAGTTGATAAGTAAATGACTCAGTAATAGATTGTTATTTGAATAAAAGGTACTGATTTCCGCATACGTGCTGCGATTTTTGTCCAAGTCGTAAACAAGTGACGCCTCCTGAATAATTTAAATATTTTTCGAAACATTCCAAGGGAAAGCCGATTGTTGGTCATAACATGATTCCTATAGAGATTCAAGAATAGTGGACCTTACTGGTTTAGTCACTAGCTGTTACAATGAAGCAGTATCTATCGTAATTATCAACTTACCTAGTGTGCCGTCATATTCGCCTATGTAACGACGTGTCAGAAGACGAACAGTAAAGGCTAGTAGAGGGAAAACAGAGGGTAAACAGGATAAAATTTTAACCAATAGCATGTAATTTCTACTCGTATTACCCTTACACAGCAACACATGATCCAGAAAACAAGTATCGATGAGGGAAAAAAGAAAAAAGAAATCGTCATTTGTAGGATCTGATCACGACACCATCCCGCAACAAAGTTCCCATTTCGCTAATTTACTTGGTAACGGTACAACAACTACAACAGAGAAAATTAAGTGTTAGATTTGAGGAGTCAAATGGCTGTGTACTGCATTATAATAACTTCAACCAGGCAACGTTAATTTGTGCTAATGAAAGTAAAAAAAAAAAAAAAAAAAAAAAAAAAAAACTATACAATAAATATAAATATAATTAGGTAAGAGAAAAAACACAGCATAAGAACATCAAAAGATGAGACTTCAAAAGGTTTCGCCGTACAGCAGAATGTTTGTTTGATTGTGTTGTTTTGGGAGTTTTATCAGCTTACAAACAAACTCCCATTTAAAGAGTTATCGGGAAATCATGCAAGCTCGGGAGCATGTCAAAGCGACTTGACGCTTCGGTGAACGGTACAATCGCGTATTAGAGAGCCCAAAGTAAAAATGTGAATGCAATTTTCGAGAATCATCATGAGAGCAGAATAATTATCGTCCCGTCAAGGAGAGTCCAAAGTTTAATTTATTCCATGTTACCTTTAATTTCTTATGAATTTGCACTTATATATTTTTGGTCACAGCTTTACCACCTAAAGCCGGAAGGATATAAAAGAAATCTGATTACTGATGATAAGCATCTTTGTGCCTACCAAAAAGCCAATGTGTTAAAATTTAGAAATGGAAATTAAACTCGATGAGTGAGTGGCGTGGGTCTAGCTTAAGATGGATCGGTTTCCTGCTGAGAGAAGATGCTGTACTCACGCAAACTTTTGTAGTGTTCTTAGTTGTTATGAAGTAGAGCTACAAACTAGTATCGGAACGAATTTTGTTTCCTAAGAATGAGACCTGGAAATTATAGTTTTCAAGGGTAGAAATAACGCCAAAGATTGGAGTAATTTGAAAGGAGGGCGCATGGCAACTGAAAGATGAACACCTCTTGCAAACAACGAACTTACAAAAGATTTCGAGTAAATTTTGTGGAAAAGACCAGCCTTGAGTATTCGTCTAAATTTGAATAGTAATTAAGTCTTTCTTAGTGCACAGACGGAGAAAAATTCTCAAACTGACTCAACGAAAGATATTTCGGCATTAAATAGTCATTGTTGCGCTGTGAATGTCCTTACACCGGGTGACAAAATCTTAGTAAAAAAGCCTCCTTTTGATTTTATGATGACATTTCGTTTTATCCTGTCAGAACTACCTTGGATGCTTGTCTCATGCTTGCCGCAACTAGTAAGCGATAGCCAGAGGTTCACTTAAACTCTTTCCTTGCCGTGTCAGCTCCAAGACAAGTTTACTAATAATCTCTCAATTGCAGGCGCGTGCGACGGGCCTTGAAAGGTCGCGATTACACTATACATCCAAGGCTCTCCACTCACCGGTTTTTCCAACGCCATCTTTGCCCAGCACAGCCGCTCTGATGACTTTGTTCTCCTCTTCGATGTTATTGTTTGATCCCACGGTGAGATTCCTCGGTTTTCGTTGAAACACTGAATGGCTAGCGTTATCTTGTGGAAAAGACTTCAGGAAAAAAAAACAAACATGCATGCATTAGGTGGTCCATAAATTTCAAAATATACATATTGCTCCGTCTTGATATTTCTACTGACTTCTCAACGGAATCACTCATATCAACCGTTCACCGCAAGGTGCAAAAAGAATACTTAAACCTCTCAATGCATTGCTAGTCGATTTCCTTTGTAAAGAACCAGGTGATCTTCTGAGAGCTAACCGCAGAATGCATGGGAAACCTAACATCAGGGAAAAATACGCTGGGCCGCATGTTTTGTTACCTAGTGAACAAATTCATGATGATTTAAATATCGCAACTCTTAGCGAGTTTAAGTAAACATTTACCTGGTGAAATTCACTTACCATTCGTCTGCCATATTGGTCACCTTTAGTTTCCATTTTTGTGAGTTTCATGCGAGAGTCTGACAAAATACCTGATCAGCACAATAATGGATTAAACCTTGTGGAAAAACACAAAAAGGGTTCTTTGGTAAACACTCTCTCAATTGTGGTTCATTCCGTTCGAGGCTAATGCTTACAACAGCTTGCTCGCCTAGCTTCAGGGCTCAAGTTGACAAACGAATCTTTGCGAGGTGACTGCGGAGAATCATACTTCCTATTCAACGAATATTAGTTGGACGCGGGTCAAATATAACATAAGGGCAAGTCTGGCACGGAAACTGAAGTCTTTACGTCGCTTTTGAGGTAACCATTGTTCGTTGAATGGCGGCAAGTTAAGTGACTGTTATTGATACCAGGGTTGTAAGGTCATTTCGGAGTTTTCTTTTTTCGGACCATTTTAATGGAAAAAATATCAAAACTTGTCAAAGCAAAGATCCGGCCTTCTTTAGGTTATTTAGAAAGCAAACAGTGTTAAAACAGATCGAGGTTCTAAGCTTTAAGGGAGGGGCGAAAAACAAGGAAGAGTGAGCGCATCCTGACTCTTAAACTTCATTTGTACTTGAGCTTTCAATTTTAGTCTGCCATGGAAACTGTTAGTATTTTCCCAAATATGGTATCTTTCAGGAATTAGAGCTGCCGTATATAAATTAAGTATAATTCCCTTGTCTACTTAGTTTCCCAGCGACAAAGTTCTGCCTTCTAGCCAGCTTATCTTTTTCCTTAATCTGCCTCTTTAATTAGTGGATTAGAACGTGATAAAGCTCAAATGTGATTAAGTACAGAGATGGTTCAAATATGTAATGCATGTAAACCTCAGCAACCTTGACGTGTGGTAACTTCCTTGTTTTTTTTTTTTTTTTCCCTTGTTACATAAATTAGTATACGAGTAGAGGCTGTTAAAATAGATACGCAAATATTCTGGTCCAATTTGTGAAAAGGTGCGCCGAGATGTGGTCGCCTAGATAACAATCTAGCATATAATGGTGCTTTAATGTTTTCCAAGTGAGGAGTTAAACAAAACGTGTGACCTTTTGCCGTCTATGCAATAGAAACCACAATCTTTAGTTCGTTGATCTTGATGTCTTTTGACTTGAGAGAGAAATTCTTTTACGTTTTGCAGCGCTACCCCTAAACTGGTGCGCAGTATTTACATCTAAAGTTACTCAAAGTAAATGATTTTTTTTTTTCCATTTGTAAATGATTTTTAGCCGGGAATTGGTTTTGGGGAAAAACTAATTAGCGAAGAAGAGTCTGATGATTGTCTCTTGTAAAGCGTTGTATGATGCATGGGCGCTCAGAGAATTCAGAAGGACGGCGTGGAATAAATTCTGATGGGGGTGCAAGGTCGCATTTGCTCAAAATTCCAAACGTTTCAAGATAAAAAAAACTTAAAATCTCAGGAGATAAAAAGAATTGGACGATTTCTTTTACTTTCCTTTCATAAATGTTCAAAGGGATTGAAAACCTTTAATTCCATCCCCTTCTCTATATAGAAAAATACGTATTCAGGCTTTGTTATTTATCAGCCCAGCTCGATAATGAACTTAAATAAAACGAACAATGAAGAGGGTGAGGTACTCTTTTGGGTTATTATACTAAAATGTTTTAGCTTTTTGGAGTCCGATTTACAAGAGTTCCAGGTATTTCAACAATAACTAGTATACTGAGGAGCTCTTTATGTTTTAAATAAACGGAAAGACCTTATCTTGAACGGTTTCATATTAGAAACTTGCTCTGTCACGTGTTCAAAATTTCCAGTTTATGCGAGAGCTCATTTAAAATCGTTCTGAGATGTTTTTTTCCTTAACGCAAATTAGCCCAGAAGCTGTCACGCGACGTGATTTTTCTTCACTTAGTAAGGCACAATTTCAGTTACGTGATTACTCATAGCGTTGAAGTTCTGTCCCTGTTTTCAATCGCTTGTGGAGTGGGACTACTTGTGTGCGACCTGTTTTTTAGTCCTTTTCTCATCCGCGTCATAAGCGGCGATTTCGAACCATTGCTCTTGCTGTTAAGAGAGAAGCGAAGCGAACCACGAAGAACATCTTGCGTGCCATCAAACCCTTCGTAACTCGAAATGGTGTAAAACTCACATCCAAGCTCCATTGCTAATAATCTTCCTTCGTACTCTGTTACATCTTGTTCGTATTTAAGATCCTTTTTGGTAGCTATTAAAAATATCGCGGCCCGATTGACGTTTCTTGTCTCCAGAAGATACTTTGTGATTAGAGCTGCTTCTCAGAAAGACGAACGATCTGTCGTCGAATAAAGGACGAAGTAGACGTCGGCCGAAGAGCAGCCATCGATTTTTTCCACAGAGTTCTGAAAGATAAAATATATCAGTGTATTAGCTGTCACTGAGAAGTATTCGATAGAAACATGGAAAGGGCGACTTGTCTTTCCTTTTTTTAAGTTACAATTCCAGAATAGGGAGACCAGAACAGCAATTTCGAAAGTATCCCGTAATTGTATTGGTTTTGCGTCATATCGTCCTGCGATTGGTCTAGAAAACTGACGTTACCTTCGCTGCCAATCAGGTGCTTACCTTAACCCCTCGTGGTTTCCCGCGCTTGAGGTCATTTAACTGGATTTACTTTGAGTTCTTATTGGCCTGTTATGGTATTTTTTTTTTCTCCTGGCCTCTGATTGGTCATTGCAATCACTTTAGAACTGAAGGCTGATAGTTTCTAAAGAAACTGTTCGGGGCTGCGTCGGTGGGGGTAATGAAATAATTTGGATATATCAACAAAGTTGAAATGGTAAATTGGCCACCGTAACGATTACAAAAGCTGACGTTTCGAGCGTTAGCCCTTCGTCGGAGCGAATTGGAGAATTGTGGGTTGTGTGCCTTTAAAGGCAGAAAATGGAGCTACGTTATTGGTGGGAACATGGCAACGAGAAAAACACGAATAAATTAGTGGAATGAAAAGCGTTCGTTGATCCCTGTGGGATTTAGACTGCCGGTTTGAAAGATGAGCTTTTGTTCAAGAGTTTTCCGGCTTTCCGTGCTACCTAAGTGTAAGGAAAGACCGCAGATTGCCATATGTTGCTTAGAATGATTCGGTAAATTAAAATGTCTAGCGACTGGTTTCGATGTGTCCTTGTCATTCCTTTCCACGTCTCGAAGGTGTTCTCGGAATCGGTCAACTAGTCTTCTGCCTGTTTCGCCGATGTATATCTTTTTGCAATAAGTGCAAGTTATGCAATAGATTACATTGGCGGAGGTGCACGTGAAGTGATCGGTGATCTTAATGGATCGTTTGGGTCCCGATATTTTATCAGTGTTGGGAATGAAAGGACACGTTTTGCATCGTGCACGACGGCATTTAAAAGTGCCTGGTTGGTCATTAGTCTGAAAAGAACTGACCAAAAAATTGCCTACGTTTTTGCGCGTTTGAATGAAATGAGCGGAGGCTGCGAAAAGATAGTGCTTGTCTCTGGATCGTTTTGAAGTAATTTAAAGTTTTTAAGAATGATCACTTTAGGCTTGGTATAGCGACACTCGAATAACTAAAGCGAAAAACGCTCAAGGCCAAATTTTGCGACTCAAGGAAAGGATTCATTACTTGCGATTATCTCTTCGTTCGTAAAAGCTATAAGTTTCTCATAGATTGTGAATAAGTAGCTTGATCCACTTACTTGCCCCGCAGTGTCCAGGATTTCTAAGAGAATTTTCTGTCCGTCCACTTCAACGCGATGGCGATATGTTTCTTCTGAGGTTGGACAAATAATAATAGCAATTAGCTATGTGTGGCCACTGATTTGGCTTTCAAGCTAAAAAAATGACCGCTTTTGGGCACGGGTCACGTGAGAGGCTCTTGGACAATGGAAAACGAACAAGAAGAAAATGCCCTTTATTACCTAAGGTGCTGTCGTATTCCCCAATGTAACGCTTTGTAAGAAGTCTGACAGTGAAGGCTGAAAAAAGTAAATAACAACTTAAAATTATCGTTGGTGTTCAATCGTTTCTTTCTTAACCATTTTAAATAATTTTATGTATTACCAAATGAACTTTGAGCTTCTTTTTCAATACAGTTTTTCCAATCTGTATTGGGTACAGTTGACAGGGTTGCCGAAAGGAAACTTTGAATCAACTTTGCGTGCAACATGTGTTTGACATAACGGAAAGTAAACATTCCTATCAAACCTTCACGCTATGCTAGAATCAAATCGAGTCCAGTTGTACAGATTTAATCTGTTTTCAATTGCTGTGTTAATTTGTCTTGGTAAACATATATGGCCAACTGTCACGAAAAGAAATGATCCGAAGTTGCTGGATCTGTGAACTGGTGTTTGCAAAGTTTGAATTTAAATTTACTCTTTTGCGCAAATCTTGCTTTGTTACTTTAACAGCCTTGATTTTTTTCGAATTTTAGCCCTTGGCATGCGGAATTGTCAACCTTTTCTTTTTATGTTCTAATGCTTGAGTGTATTTCCTTTTATGGTAACTATCACAAATCTTCGTGTGTGCCTCAGGACATGAACTCACGCGCAGCCTTTTGATACGTAATCTACTGATTCTCTATTCGTTTGTTCGAGTATTATATAATTTTCCAGAATCACATTTTTAGTTGAATTGAAGGGTGTCTCCCGCATGTTTTAAAGTTTGGCCTTAATTTTTCATTTAAAACTTTCAATTTGCTATCTGTTTTTGTCTTCTCTATCTTTATCCTTGCTTGTGCACTCTTGGTTTTTTACTGTAATTTTTTTTTTCCGACTTTTTCTTTTCACCGAGCAGAGGTGTCTTTTTAGCAGACGTTGGTATTACTCGTAAGAATCATTTACTCAAAATTATTTGATACAGTCACGAAAAGTTTAAAGAATTCTTATCTTTTAGAAATTTTATTTTCCGCTGGGCGGAAAGGTGCCCGCGTGAATTTCTCTCACGGAAGCCGGAGACCATGCGACTTTACGTTTTCAGCGTTAAGACCCAAAAAAATCCGGAATGAGGGATCTGTTTTGCGCACGTACTAATTTCTACACATGTACAACGGTTTCGAAATAATTTATAGGGATAGATTGGAATAGATTATAAAAACAAATGGTTCTAGTCAGAAAACTAGCTGTGCTTTTGAACGTGACTGTAATGTCAACCGCTACAATGACCTTTAACCTGTCGCCATTGTACAAACATACTTGCAGACACAAGTAAGAATGTTTTTCACGCTTAAGTGTTGAAGCGATAACTTCGTCTACATTTCACATTGGTGTTCACTGTACAGTAATATTTTTCTCCTTGCTCTGTTAACTCGAAACTACACACCACATGGAAAAGGTTGTATAAAAATTGTGTAC